CTTAAACCTTTTTCCATCATTTAAATATATAAAGATTAAAAAAGTTGTAAAGAGTCAGATGATGATTTTCTACCTGCACCCATAAATCCCCCAAATGCATCCGTTCTACAGAATGTAGAAAGAGTTAAACACAGAAACATGAGGGTGCATTAGCACATTTTCTAACCGAAGAAAAACTAATTTGTTTCAGATGCTTTTTTAATGTTTGGAATTAAAGATTTGGGGATAAATATAACAGTAGTTTTGTTGCATGAACAGGGAGACATTTAGTAAAAAGGCCTTTAAAGTGGAGCCAAGAAGCTAAACATGTAAATATGGCTCACCTTGGTCAAAAGTGGTCTTCAATGGCATTAAAACGATAAAAAAACGATGCTGCAGTTAATCCATAGGTTCATCCTATGTGTCTGTGCCTTCTTTGAAATTATTTCTGATAATCCATAAGCAATACAACTGCGTTTTAGTTTCCAAACTCCAGAAGGAGACATTCCTCCAGTTTAGTTTCGCTTTCCACACGCGAAGCGGCAACATTTTTTCTTTACAACCTGTCTGGGTGGGAGCCTCCTCCTTCGATTCTATTGGCTCTAACGGTCACAAGGGTATGTCAACCAACCAGATCAAGCAAGGGGGGCCAGAGATAGGTCAAATCCACCCAAATGACCCCAGATGGCCCAGTTTTTGTCTAAATCTCTCTAAAAAGGTCAAATTTCACTTGTTTTGCATCAATCTTGATACAGGGTACTTATTATATGTTGTACTTTGGATTCCTAAAGCTTTTAGTCTACTAACTAAAGACAAAAGTGTTTGGAGCCAATCGGTATTAAGAATAGATTTTAAAGCAAAGGCCATCTTTTAAAGTGGTTACTAATCGGATATCGAGGAATTTCACTAGTATAAGTATCTACTACTAACTTTCTTGTAACTTTAAATCCTTAGTCAAATGTTTATTTTAAATATACAGTTAGTCACGTAGATATATTAATTCCATCCAAAGTTTAGGAGGTATGTCAAAGTATTTATGCACATTTAAAAAAAATCAAATTGAGGTTTATTATAAGTTTGCAGCAACTTGTGAAATACACATATGGTTAGAATGAAAGCAGGGAATTATAATTCTGTAAAACGCTTTGAAAAGCAGTCTTATATTGTCTCACCGGTCTAAATAACATGAGACTAAAATGTGTGGAAATACTACATTCCTCACTAATACTACATCAACATTTTACAATGTACGTTTGATTGTTATCACACAAGTTATATCTCAGATTGCAACGTTATTTATTTAAGTTCAGAGGTCCATATGAGCAGCGCCCACCCCCCGATTACTAAAACTAATCGATAGCTAGGGTCCTAATCTTGTTGTTTCAATGATCCCTCTCCTATATCTATAAATATATCTACGTATAAGGTAACACTTTATATTAAGGTACACAAATTAACCATCAACTAGTTGTTAATTAACATGCATATTAGCAGTATATTGGCTCTTTATTAGTCATTATAAAACACTTATTAATGCCTTATTCTGCATGACCATATTCTACAAGTAATACGCCATTAGTTGAGAGTTTTTCCTCAATAACCCTCTAATTAGTGCTTATTTATTGCAAGTAAGGAAGTTGTTGTACATGAGTTTTGGTCTTAATATGCTCTGCTCAATATGGGCCTAATAAGGCAGTACCACAAGAATAGTAATTCTACCATAATAACACTTAACAAATATGATCTATTCTTATGTAACAAGACATGAAACTATAAATGTTAATTGTGTCTAAATAATTCAAAATTAGGTATTTATATTAGGGCTGTCAAGTTAACGCAAAAAAAAATTAACGCCACTAATTATTTTAACGCGATTAACTCATGTGTATTTTTTGTCCTCAGCCGCCCCGTAGTTTCAGAGCGCATCGAGTGTAAAATACCATCTACAAGCTGATGCTGACAGCCCCGCTCCTGCCGCCCGCTTGTGGCAGACCACACTTCCACGCTCACTTCCGGCAGGCCCGGACTGGCCATCGGGAGGACCGGGAGGGTGTGTGTATGTGTGGCGCGACTCGCGTGAGCAAGGCACATCTTACGTGTTGTTGTTGTTGTTAGCATCTGGTGCTAGCTAGCTGGATATAAGGAGCTGTTTCAATGACATTTCGCCGACAACTGCGCCGAGCACTTGGCTTTATGCAGGTAGCCAGACAGTGGGACATTGTACGAAAAGTCAGCACACTCAGCACGGATAGTGCGCGCAACATGATTGCAGCGTCCAGGCAGCTCCCGTTCGAGCATATATGCCTTGAGCTGCGCACACACACACACACACACACACACACACACACACACACACACACACACACACACACACACACACACACACACACACACACACACACACACACACACACACACACACACACACACACACACACTTTGTATTGTATTATTGTATGAGAGAGCTTCCAGGTTGAATTGAGGCGAATATTTGTAATGTTCAGAGGTTGTTGTGTTTAATATTCATGAGAATATTTGTCATTGTTCAAATGATAATTAACAAACATATAAAGCATATTTGTCCACTCATATGTTGATAAGAGTATTAAAAACTTGAAAAATATCCCTCTAAGGTACATTTAGAACAGATAAATAATGTGCGATTAATTTGCGATTAATCACGATTAACTATGGACAATCATGCGATTAATCGCTATTAAATATTTTAATCGACTGACAGCCCTAATTTATATCTAAGAATATGTTTTGGGGTATTGACAGTTCAGCTACCAATAGCAAGGTGATATTGACCTGTATGTTTCATATTTGCACATTTATATATTTGTAAAATACTTTGTACTGAAGGTTAGACAGGAAACCGGGTACAGGAAGTAGGAGAATGTGAACTGAATAGCATGGCAGTCGACATCCATGAGCAGACTGCTACAAATGTTCCCTTTGCAACCTGAAGAGTAAAGGGTCAAGTCCGTCAGAAAGCAATGACTGTAAGTGTAAGTGTAAGCCTTACACTTACCAGTGGCGAGCCGTGAGCTTTATACCTAGGCCCTCTGACCCCCACCCCTTCCCTCGAAAAAAAGAAAAAAAAAGAGTTATTACGTCACAGCGTATACTTCAGCGGAATATCAAAACAACGGCCCAGGGTGCAAAACGCATCAATGACAGCGACCCTCTACCACACAAAACAACACCTGTGAACCCAATTTGTATTCTTTGACATTGAAAATGATATTGCATTGTGTTTGTTACTTTCGTTGCAGTTGTATGTCTTAAGTGTAATTTGGCATGCTTTTATTTTGAAGGCGAGTTCACGCTGTTGACAGGAAGTTGTTGTTGCTATGGAAACAAGAAAAGTTTCACAGCGGGCGGAACTTGTCATATAGTCCGCGATAATAAAACCCACCCATTTAGAGGGAAGATATGATTGGTCAATTGTACTGTCATTTGACATTACTCTCTCGTTCAGTTACTATAGCGGGCCCTCTGTGAATCGCAGAGAGGCCCGCTATAGTAACTGACATTCAAACAGAGACTGAACAGGCAGATTCGAACGATTTATTTATTTGGAAATGTTATTTTATTAAATCAAGTTTTTTTTCGGTAAAACAAATGAAAAATATAACAAAAATAATATTAAAAACATATATATTATAAATTTTTTTTTTTTTTTTTAATGTTTTTAAATATTTTTTTTTGGAATATCTTAGGCCCTCACAGAGGGCCTAGAGGGCCCTGACGGCTCGCCACTGACACTTACACACTGTAAGGATTAGTAACATGTATTGTGTTTATGTGATGACATTTGGAGATGTTTAAACACAATGAGAAAATGCGTTACCATTCGCGCTAGCATTTGCGTTAGCATTCGCGCTAGCGTTAGCATACACGGTAGTGTTAGCATACACGGTAGTGTTAGCATACATGCTAGCGTTAGCCATACTAGCCTGTACACATGCTTATTGCACAGCTAGCATTAGCTATATTTACCTTGTTTACACTTAGCGGTCCTATGTGTTAATCTGTGTATGTTACACTTGCATGTATGAGATCATCAAGTGCCTTGTAACTTCTTTTTTTATAGTTTCACTCCGTTTGAATGTCAGTGGACTGCAAATAATTCAATAAAGGAGCATGGCTGCTCATTCCCTGGCTCTCAAAAGAGTTTGGCTGGCTGTTTAATCTATGTTCACACAGAGACAGGACAACACATAGAGAGAACAGTACACCTATTGTGTAAGTACATACAAGAAGGTCACACAGTATAATCACAAATACATAAACTCTGTTTTTATTAAAAAGTACAGGCTGCGTATGTGTTCTCAGCCTTGGAGGAACTTGACATGTTTTGGTATGAGTCTGAACCTCTCCTTAGTGGTTCATTAATAAAACAGATATTTCAACGTGTGCCTACTTTGATCATGTACTGTTGAGGTTAATTTCAGTAGTTGTGTGCTATCATGTATTTACAAAGTGTGAAGAGGAGGCAACTTTAGAATAGGGAACCTGTTCAGATCAATTAGAGTCAAACTACTAGCTTATTGGTTATGAACAAGACTTCACTTTAAAATAGGGAACATGTTCTTAGATATAAATACCTAATTTTTAGTTATTTAGACTTAATTAACACTTATAGTTTCATGTCTTGTTACCTAAGAATAGATCATATTTGTTAAGTGTTATTATGGGATAATTACTATTCTTGTGGCACTACTGCCTTATTAGGCCCATATTGAGCAGCGCATATTAAGACCAAAACTCATGTACAACAACTTCCTTACTTGCAATAAATCAGCACTAATTAGAGGGTTATTGAGGAAAAACTCTCAACTAATGGCGTATTACTTGTAGAATAAGGCATTAATAAGTGTTTTATAATGACTAATAAAGAGCCAATATACTGATAATATGCATGTTAATTAACAACTAGTTGATGGTTAATTTGTGTACCTTAATATAAAGTGTTACCACGTATCATTTTCTCCTTTTGAATCTCAGCAGGAAAGATGGAGACTCTTAAAAAGATCCTCGTCAGCACTTTGGAAGATTTGGGGGAAGAGGACTTTAAAGACTTCAAGTGGACCCTGCAGCAGAAGGTCCTAGATATCCAAGGAATCCCAAAGAGTCGGCTGGAGCATGCAAACCGGAGAGCCACAGTGGATCAGATGTTTCTGAACTACGGCATAAATACGTTCAAAGTGACCATAATGGTTTTGGGGGAGATAAAGCGGAATGATCTAAAGGAGAAATTATCAAAACACCCTTCAGAACCTGCAGGTAGGTCATTAAAAAGATGCTACAAAGATGGGACTTGTATTCTTTATAACCCTGCATCGTGTTTTTTGACTGTAATATATACTGTGAGTGTAGAACAATGTGAAGTATAATGCATTTTTCATTGTGGGTTATACAAAATTATATTTGATTATATTAACTTTCGTTTAAATTATTTAACTACTATTAAATAAACTACTATTGTGTTAAATTAGGAAGATGTATTTAGACACGTGTTATTTGTAGTATCTCCTCTAATTTTCCTTTTTGCTTCATTCAGAGATTGTTTCTGAGTGCCAAACTGAACTCAAATCAAGCCTGAAGAAAAAGTCTGAATTCATATCTGAGAAAATCTCAAAAAACGAAAATGTAAAACCCCTGAATGAAATCTACACCGAGATCTACATCACAGAGGGGGGGGGGTGCAGAGGTCAACATGGAACATGAGGTCAGACAGATTGAAATAGCATCCAGGAAACCAGACAGACCAGAAACAACCATCAGACGAGAAGACCTCTTTAAAGCCTCACCTGGAAGAGATGCACCAATCAGAGTGATGACAAAGGGAGTGGCTGGCATTGGGAAAACAGTCTTAACACAGAAGTTCACTCTGGACTGGGCTGAAGGCAAAGCCCACCAGGACTTCCAGTTCATATTTCCATTCACTTTCAGAGAGCTGAATGTGCTGAGAGGGAACAAGTACAGCTTGGTGGAACTTGTTCATCACTTCTTCTCTGAAACCAGAGACGCAGGAATCTGCAGGTTTGATCAGTTCCCGGTCGTGTTCATCTTTGACGGTCTGGATGAGTGTCGACTTCCTCTGGACTTCCACAACACTGAGATCCTGACTGATGTCACAGAGTCCACCTCAGTGGATGTGCTGCTGACAAACCTCATCAGGGGGAAGCTGCTTCCCTCTGCTCGCCTCTGGATAACCACACGACCTGCAGCAGCCAATCAGATCCCTCGTGAGTGTGTGGACATGGTGACAGAGGTCCGAGGGTTCACTGACCCACAGAAGGAGGAGTACTTCAGGAAGAGATTCAGTGATCAAAAGCAGGCCCGCACCATCATCTCCCACATCAAGACCTCACGAAGCCTCTACATCATGTGCCACATCCCAGTCTTCTGCTGGATCTCTGCTACAGTTCTGGAGTACATGAAAACCGGAGAGGGAGGAGAGCTGCCCAAGACCCTGACTGAGATGTACATCCACTTCCTGGTGGTTCAGTCCAAAGTCAAGAACGTCAAGTATCATGGAGGAGCTGAGTCAGATCCACACTGGACTCCAGAGAGCAGGAAGATGATGGAGTCTCTGGGAAAACTGGCTTTTGAGCAGCTGCAGAAAGGCAACCTGATCTTCTATGAGTCCGACCTGACAGAGTGTGGCATCAATATCAGAGAAGCCTCTGTGTACTCAGGAGTGTTCACACAGGTCTTTAGAGAGGAGAGCGGACTGTACGAGGACAAGGTGTTCTGCTTTGTCCATCTGAGCATTCAGGAGTTTCTGGCTGCTCTTCATGTCCATCTGACCTTCATAAAGTCTGGAGTCAACCTGCTGTCAGAAGAACCAACAACCTCCCAGCAGTATGAGGTCAAACCTGAACTAACACATCTCTACCAGAGTGCTGTGAACAAGTCCTTACAGAGTCCAAACGGACACCTGGACTTGTTCCTGCGCTTCCTCCTGGGTCTTTCACTGCAGACCAATCAAAAACTTCTACGAGGCCTGATGACACAGACAGGAAGTGACCCAGACACTGAAGGGAAAACAGCGGAGTACATAGTAGAGAAGATGGATGAGGATCTGTCTCCAGAGAGAAGCATCAACCTGTTCCACTGTCTGAATGAACTAAATTATCATTCTCTAGTGAAGCAGATCCAATGGTGCCTGAAATTAGGAATTATTTCCACATATAATCTGTCTCCTGCTCTGTGGTCAGCTCTGGTCTTCATCTTACTGTCATCAGGAAAAGATCTGGACGTGTTTGACCTGAAGAAATACTGTGCTTCAGAGGAGGCTCTTCTAAGGCTGCTGCCAGTGGTCAAAGCCTCCAACAAAGCTCTGTAGGTGAACACATAACTATCCAGATTGAATGTATTTCTTTTTTATTCAGAAATAAATGTATAACTGTTTGTAATTGATTTAATTTATATAACTGATTCCTCTCCAGACTGAGTGACTGTAACCTGTCAGAGAGAAGCTGTGAAGCTCTGTCCTCAGTTCTCAGCTCCCAGTCCTCACGTCTGAGAGAGCTGGACCTGAGTGACAATGACCTGCAGGATTCAGGAGTGAAGCTGCTGTCTGCTGGACTGGAGAGTCCAAACTGTGAACTGGAGACACTCAGGTTGGTGTAAAGCTGTTTTAAAATGTTGACCATCTCAATTCTATGTTTCGTCATATACTATTTATTGAATAGACATGTTATTGAATTATTTCAGACTGAGTGGTTGTAACCTGTCAGAGAGAAGTTGTGAAGTTCTCAGCTCCAAGTCCTCTTGTCTGATTGAGCTGGACCTGAGTAACAACGACCTGCAGGATTCAGGAGTGAAGCTGCTGTCTGCTGGACTGGAGAGTCCACACTGCAAACTCGGAACTCTAAGGTAAGTGAAATGTTGTTCAAAAATGCTGACCCTCTGAACACCCAATTACTTATTATACTAACTGTTGGATTAACCTTTTATTGAATTATTTTAGTGTTTGCACATTGTCAAAGAGAAGTTGTGAAGCTCTGTCCTCAGTCCTCAGCTCCAATTTCTCTCGTCTGAGCTGGACCTGAGTAACAAGTTAAATGTTTAGGTTTTTCCATCATCATGTATTAAACGTGGCAGCAATGTTATAGGGAAGTTGATTGCTAATAAAATAACTTGAATCATATTAATCTCTATTCTAACGTGTGTGCGGCTGTGAGCTGTGTGTGTGTGTGTGTGTGTGTGTGTGTGTGTGTGTGTGTGTGTGTGTGTGTGTGTGTGTGTGTGTGTGTGTGTGTGTGTGTGTGTGTGTGTGTGTGTGTTTATTCAGTCTGTCAGGCTGTCTGGTCACAGAGGAAGGCTGTGTTTCTCTGGCTTCAGCTCTGAGTTCCAACCCCTCCCACCTGAGAGAGCTGGACCTGAGATACAATCATCCAGGAGACTCAGGAGAGAAGCTGATATGGAGACTCGAGACACTCAGGTATGGACACTCAGGTATATTTATTTATTCAGTCAGACAGACAGACAGACAGACAGACAGACAGACAGACAGACAGACAGACAGACAGACAGACAGACAGACAGACAGACAGACAGATATTGTATCAGATTGAACATAGTACAACAAATGTAATTCTAATCTCCGCCTAAAAAAACACATTACTTATAGTGAAAACCAGCCTTGAATGATGGGATAGTAGCCCAGAACCTTTAATATATCATAAGTACCCTGTGTAATTTTTTAGTGAGGTTTAGCACAGGTAGGTCAAGGTGGACTCGCCTTTGTATACATTTGGTTACCATCAGTGCCATTTGACCTTTCTCAGGTACCACACTGTAAAACTAATTTTACCTTTTTTGAAAATTCACCCAGCCCTCCATACCTTTTTTCGCCACAAAGCATTATGAGGCGCAAGCTACCAGTCAGACCTATGCATTACGCATGCATTATGATTACGCAGAGCTGTATCTCTGGAACCCATTGGTCAAATTGGGTGATGTACACCTCCTTGTAACCGTTGGAGCCAATAGAATCGAGGGGCAGTTCATAAATCCATGTAAACATTACCATTGGTCAGTTAAAATGACTCAGACACAGCATGCCCTAAAGCAGACGCCCCGGCCTGCTCAACATTATACCCCGTTTATTACCAATAACTATAATGATGGATTATCAGTAATAATTTCAAAGTGACACAGAGACGTTGGATTAACCTTCAGCAGCGTTTTATGGCCTTGAACACAACTTTTGATCACAAAACAGCAAAGGTAAGACTTAATCATCATGGCTACGTAAAGTGAAGTTGTTTTCTTGCTCTTTCCTGGCTGCTAGTTCAGTGAGTTTTCGTACAGTGATGAGACTTATACCCATGGAATACGTGGAATCTCAGCTTTCATATGACATGTCGTTTGTGCAGATAGCATGAAGTAGAAAAATCACTATTGCCACTTATGTGCGCTAGCACCGTTAGCATGTTTTCGTTAAGTGCTGATTTAGACGCTTGGTGTTAGACTTGTGTTCCGTTTAGGTAAAAATGGTTCATATCGTCAGTTAGCTGACTTTCTTCCCGTTAAGTGGGTATGCCACATTAATAGCTTAAATGTTAACAAGCCCTGGGATGGTGTTTCTTACAAGATGCGTCTGCCCCCGATGCCGGGGGCAATTGGCTCTAGAGGTTTTAACATGGTACCTTCCAACTGAGCTCATCTGCATTGATTGATTAAGTCTCTATTCAAGGCAGCATTATTCTGTTGCTCTGTTTGAGAGTCAGGAACACAATGACCAAATGGATTTATGCTTGTTTGAATGACTTTGAGTGGTTTAATACAAATAGTGACAATGTCTTCGTCACTTTCTTTCTGCAGGATGGACCATGGTGGTCTGCAGTGTTTGAAACCTGGTCTGAGGAAGTGTGAGTGTGTTGTGTTTTAAGTTTGATTCATCAGAGCTGCACGTAAAGGCCCCTATACCAAACAAACACCAAAGAACACGTCCCGACGGAACACGACTGTTGTGTCGCCTCACGTCTCCTGCGTCTTGGCCAAACTGTCGCACTGGAACACACCGCAAAGACTTCAGCCGACGGCCAAGAAGCACGTATGAACTGCGCATGCGTGAGTGGCAAAAGAGGCAACCAGAAGACAGACTGCGTGATATATACAAACAACAAATAGCTACATGCTCCACAGCTCCAGCCAAGCAGCACAGGGATGAAGTATGCCAATATTTTAACAGTATCGGTGCAGTGCCTTTTCAGTGGGGAAAGATATAGCAAATATGTGTGCCTATCCTGCTATTTGTGTTTATTCTTTTAATCACGCAGCATTAAGAAACCATAACTGTCGGTTGCAGCCGTAGCATTATTATTGGTTTAACTAGCCTACTAACAGTATATTTTTAAAACATTTTAAAATGACCATCTTGAACAGCTACAACATTAAAATACTTCTAGGCAGATTGTGGACAGTAACAAAGTACATTTACTTAAAGGGGACCTATCATGCAAAATGCACTTTTGTACGTCTTTTATACATGAATATGTGTCCCCGGTGTTCCAGGGAACTCACCAAGTGTCAGAAAACACAACCCTCTCTATTTTCCTCCATACCCAAATCTCTAAAAAAGGGGCTGCAACGGATCTGATAAAAACTGATCCAGATTTGAACACTGTCCTGACGTCAGGACGGTGGCGCTACGGCTATTGGACCAACTCCACCAATCAGGAGGAGACAGCCACGGCCATTGCCATTCGAAAGCGCTGGAGACGCTGTAGTACATATGCCAGGCCTGTAGGTGGTGCTGTTCTCACTGAATCTGCCCTTGCAAAAACAGGGGTAAAATAGTGCAAATTGAGCGAAATGAGGCATGGCTAAAATGCATGATCTGTTTGGTATTTTGAAAAAAATAAAGTATAAATATGCCTTATATAGGTATGGTCCTACACTATATTATTATAATATAGCATGATAGGTCCACTTTAAGTACTGTACTGCTCCACTCCCATTCAGGCAAATAGTGTTTCGCTAAACTGAACAGCCAATCAGAGTGATTTCTTTTGCCGACATCCTCCGCAGGCTCCGCGGCCGATTCAATGTTGAATCGGCCGCGGAGCCTGCGGAGGCTGTCACTCTGAAGGTGTCGGCACGGCCGAAAAGGCATGACGGGGCAGGACCAATCTGAGTAGGGCGACAGGACGCTCATCGGCGGCCAGACATCTATCGACGGCCGAAATCGGCTTGGTGTGTAGGGGCCTTTAGGCTACAGTTTTACATTTTCTTGGCTTTGTGTTTCTGTGGCTGCAGGGATCCACAAACACAACAAAGTGAACACAGTGATCCAACAGCACTAATAAATACATTTCAAATCAGCAGAAAGATAACTTCTTATTTTCACCGTTGTTGAGAACAAGGCGTGCAAAAGTATACGGGTCGTGCTGCAGCTAGATTTTCCTGTCCTCTGTTAGAAGGTGTCGGCGACGGACGTGCGAGGAAGAACGGCTTTCCACAGGCTGTTCCAATTTAAATACTTTATTGATTTCCAGGGTAGTGATTTTTACATGCATCGGTAATTGGATGGGTGTGGCATCTGTAATATAAAGATAAACAGGTATGAATAAACATGTATTATAGAGGGATAATGACCAGTGACATTGTTACCCCTAGATTCCACCGGGTCCGTCTGCGGCGCGTTACGGACGCGTTACGGCTGCGCCGCGGTGCTCAAGGTGATCGCGGCCACTCTAGTCAATGGGTGCTATTCCACCACACGGGGCGCGTTACGGCTCAGACGCGTCCCAGAAGCGGCTCGGCGCAGGGCTTTTCTAAAATTAGGATCGAATCCTATTTTTGTCGCGGCGCAGCCGTAACGTAAGGTCGGGCAGGCAGGAAGTGGAACGTTCAGAGCTATATAGACCTATATATATACACACACACAAACTAATTTTGCAGACCCTATCCCTCCGTAGTCTTTCAAGTAGGAGGAGAAATGCCAGCGTTCTCCTCCGGTTTACAGGCACTGTGTAAATTATATATATAGAATAATTATGATGATGAATGCATTTTTTTTACCACTAAAATACAGCAACACATCTTTGATTCATGTCGTTTATAACTGGAATATTACAGTTATTATTAACTTTGTCTGTACAAAGTAGCCTGTCCAGGAAATATGCCCAAATCAACAAAAACTGCGAGCCGGCAGGCAAGACTCTCCGCTTCTGAAATGCTTCTGAAACGCGCCTGGTAGGGTATGACGCCGGAGGAGGCCGGACCAAAACCGCGGCGCAGCCGTAACGCGGCGCAGACGGACCCGGTGGAATCTAGGGGTAACACAGTAAATTAGGTAAAGAAAGAAATGGCACAATTAGCTGGCCTGTGCTGCCCTCTATTGGCCAAAGGCCGCAACAGAATGGCGATTGAAATGACACGTTATTACATAAGTAATTAACTATTATAAACAATCACGCATGAACAACATACAGGAATGCACACAATGATGTCTCTATAGTGACTACAATATAAAGAACACTGCATATATTGGCCCCTGCATCAACTTGGCGTAACATTGTTCATTATGCAATGTGAGGGAGCGTGCCTGGTGTGGCCGCACCTCGTGCTGTCCCATAGTCAACATGGCAAAGTTAGCGGCTATTGCTAACTGCCTTCTATTGCAGAGTAAGCTCTGTATTATGAACATTAACCCACCAATAACCGAACTAGGCAAGAATATATGCACTTACATTTTCATGCACGCACACGCATGTCCACAACACACAAAATGAACAACACTCTCATTTGTCCGATCGCTACTAGTGTCCTTGCGATCTTGTTACGACAACAAGTGCACGTTAGTGCTGCAACATGGTTGAAACCATTCGGGCCTATGCTAGGGGGTGCAAGGAATAGTCCAAGTAATGGGGGAGTTTCATACAACCGTCATTATAGATATATTCTGATATTGTATTAGTGCTTTGTTGGCTTCAGATGCTCCTCGTAAACTTGTATTTCACTAGTCTGACAGATGTTTTGTTCAAGTAACCTTTAGTTTTATTCTTTAGACGTCTTTGTTGAAAGTTGTTAGACATAATTTATAGTGTTGAATATAAAACGTCAGCTTGAATTATTTCCTGTCAGTGATTGTCAGTAAAGTAGTTAATAAATGAACAGATGATAACCTGCAGCTGTTCTCTCCATCAGATGCCTGTGAACTGAAGCTGGCGACACGTGTGTGGAAGGAGCAGCCATATCCTGATCATCCAGAGTTTGACTTATTGGAACAGCTGATGTGTAGAGAAGCTCTGACTGGACGCTGTTATTGGGAAGTCGAGTGGAGAGGAGAGGTTGATATAGCAGTGACTTACAGAGGAATCAGCAGGAGAGGAGACGGAAAGGACAGTTTGTTTGGAGAGAATGATCAGTCCTGGAGTCTGAGATGCTCTAAATGGGGTCACTGTGTCAGCCACTCAAATATAAAAACAGACATCCCCTCCTCCTCCTTCTCCTCCTCCTCTGGTAGAGTAGCAGTGTATCTGGATCATCCTGCTGGCTCTCTCTCCTTCTACAGAGTCTCCTCTGACACACTGGTCCACCTCCACACCTTCAGAACCACATTCACTGAACCTCTCTATGCTGGGTTTGGGCTCTGGCCTGGTCCCTCTTCAGTGTCTCTGGTTCCTCAGGTCTGAGAGTCTCTCCTGACGACAGAAACTGACTGCAGATCAGCTGCTGAAATCAGTTCAGTGTGTTCACCATCACACACACATCTGTCTCAAACTCAGACACAATAATTTAACAAATATATAACATTTCTACATTTACATTTGCTTGTTCTATATTTAGCTGTCTTGTGTAGGTTCAGAGAAACGTGTGGTGTTCTTCGGGGTAACGGTGTGTTTCCTTTGGTCTCCTGAGGTGCCTTGTATCCTCTTTGAGCAGCGTCAGTGTTTGCTGCCATAAACTGATTCTGAATCCAGTTTGAAGCCACATGTTTACCATATGCAGTGTGGTATGCAATAATCAGAAATACTTTCTTTGTTTTGATTCAAAAGATGACGTATTGTTTTTATAATGGTACGAAACATCTGAAAACCAATTGCCTTCTTTAGCTTCCTCTTGAATAATACTGTAATGTAATAAATATAAAACTGATCTTTTTCTTGTAATGTTTCAAATTATTTTGAATAAAATATTTTCTTTTTATTCTGAGGCTAAGCTTTTGTTTTGTCATAAAGTAAAACTAGCACCAGAATCACTTCACACATCTTCTAACACCCCCCCTACTGGTTATACTACTACATATATTTTGAAGGATTAAATGCTAAAACATATTTGTGGAGAATATTCAATAACTCCACAGTGAAGTGCTAACAACAACACTTGGATGCTCTCCTTTCGTTATAGTTCAACACTTATTTTGAACATTTAGCATTATTATGGTGGTTTTAAAATAATAAATGAGTCCCCTGTTGGACAGTTGTGTGTCACGTTAAATGTGTTAAAATACACATTTCTTCTGTATTTTATTTTCACATTTATTTATTATTTTAATGTATTTATTCATACATTTATTTATACATTTATCAAATCAAATCAAATCAACTCAAGGTTTATTTATAGAGCACATTTAAAAGCGATTTTTGGTCGGGCCAAAGTGCTGTACATGTAATAACTACAATCACATAAAAACACATTTCTATAATCACAATAAAAGACAATAAATTACAACAGATATTTAAAAAGAAAAACACAGGGAAAAGTCAGGAGTCGTGCTCCGCTCTGACTAAAAGGCCAGGGAGAAGAAGTGTGTCTTAAGAGTAGATTTAAAAACCCCTAGGGTCTGGGCCGACCTCACATGGAGGGGCAGAGTGTTCCAGAGCCTAGGGCCAGCTGCTGCGAAGGCTCGGTGCCCTCGGGTTTTGAGCCTGGTCTTGGGCACTATCAGCAACAGCTGGTCAGCAGACCTTAAAGCTCTGGCTGGGGTGTAGCGCTGGAGGAGTTCAGCTATATAGGCCGGAGCCAGCCCATTTAGTGCTTTAAAAACAAATAAAAGGAGTTTAAAATCAATTCGGAACCGAATTGGAAGCCAGTGCAGTGAGGCCAGAATTGGGGTGATGTGGTCACGCTTTTTGTGGCCAGTGAGTAGACGTGCAGCTGCGTTCTGGACTAGCTGCAGGCGTTTAATTGATGCGTGGTCCATACCCACGTACAGAGCGTTGCAGTAGTCCAACCTCGAGGTAACAAAGGCGTTAATAACCCTTTCCAGGTCCTCAAACGATAAAAACGACTTAGTCTTGGCCAATAGTCGTATTTAAAAAAAGCAGGTTTTGACTACGCTGCTGACCTGCTTATCGAATTTAAAAGCGCTATTGAAGGTCACTCCAAGGTTCGTGACAGAGGGGAGGATATTATTTTTGAGGGAGCCCAGAATATCAACCTGGGAGGCTAGAGGTTGGGGTCCAAAAAAGATAACCTCAGTCTTGCTCTCATTGAGGTTGAGGAAATTTTGGCTCAGCCAGGATTTGATCTCTGCTAAGCAGTCCATCAATAGCTGTAATGAGTTAACATTTGAATTGAGTGGCAGATAGATCTGTACATCGTCGGCGTAGCAGTGGAAGGGGATGTTGTGTTTTGTGAGAATTGAACCTAGGGGCAGTATGTACAGTAGAAAAAGGATGGGGCCCAAAATCGAGCCTTGGGGAACCCCACAGGTAAGAGGGGCTATGGCTGAGGAGAAGGCACCTAGCTGCACTGAGAAGCTACGGTCTGTCAGGTAGGACCTGAACCATGCAAGGGCAGAGCCTGTGATGCCAGCGGACTGTTCAAGCCGTGACAGCAGGATGCTATGGTCCACAGTGTCAAAGGCAGCTGTCAGGTCTAACAGCACCAAGACAGCTGGGCTACCTGAGTCGGCGGCTAGGAGCAGATCATTAAAAACTCTTAAAAGGGCTGTTTCAGTGCTGTGCATGGGTTTGAAGCCAGACTGATACTTTTCATGGATTCCATGCGTGGTTAAAAAAGACTGCAGCTGGGCGTAGACTACTCGCTCCAGGGCTTTTGATAAAAAAGGTAGCTGGGAGATGGGCCTAAAATTTGCGAGAATGGAGGGGTCGAGATTTTTCTTTTTAAGTAGTGGCTTAACCACAGCATGTTTGAAGGCAGCTGGGACACATCCTGAGCTAAGAGAGGTATTTAAAAGTAATAAAATACTTGCTCCAACTGATTCTAAAACATCTCTGAGAAGGCGAGAGGGAATGCTGTCTGAGGTGCAGTTTGTCAGCCGCAGGTGCTTGACTACATCCGAGAGAGAAGAGAGGGATACAGGCTCAAAGTGGTCGAGGACAGCAGGGCACAGAAAAGGAGCAGGATCTGGGGTAGCACTAGTGTGGGCTAGCCTAAGAGCAGATACTTTTTCAATAAAAAATGTAAGAAACTTATCACAGAGAGTAGTCGATGGCACAATAGAAGAAACATCACAGGGATTAATGATAGAGTTGAGGACATTAAAAAGAACCTGAGGTTTATGGCTGTTTTTGGAGATGAACAGAGAAATGTGCTCTGTTTTGGCTGCTTTGACTGCCGTCTGGTAGTCAGAAAGGCAAGCACGAAGGATTTCTAAGGAGACATGGAGTTTATCCTTTTTCCATTTTCTCTCTGCACGCCTGCAGGTGCTTCTAAGAGCGCGAGTACAGTCATTGAGCCACGGCTCTGATAGAACTTTGGTGCGTCTAAGCGTAAAAGGAGCAACAGAATCCAGTATTAGTGTACATGTCGAGTCAAACATGGAGATAAGCTCATCAGCACTAAAAACACAGTTCACCTCTAATTTACAGATAGGAGAAGCATTCAAAACATCAGAGAACTGTGAGGCAGTCAAGGGGTTAATCGAACGCAGACGACGCGCAGGGGCACGTGATTCGACTCCTGCGGAAGGGATCGAGGTTGTAAACAGAACCGGTAAATGGTCTGAGATACGCGTTGCTGCACATATTTCATCCACAGATACAGACAGTCCAAACGATAATACTAAGTCCAAAGTGTGTCCTTTTTCGTGTGTTGGGCCAGCCACAGACTGAACGAGACCAAAAGAATCAAGGAGATTTAAAAAGTCCCTAACCAGAGGTTTGGACTCACAACACACATGGACATTGAAGTCTCCGGAGATCAAAACACGATCATATTTCACCATGATCCCGGACAGAAAGTCAGAAAAGTCATTTATGAAATCCTTATTGCACTTTGGCGGACGATACACCATGGCCGGTGGCACGGGGGGAGCTGAAGAATGTACAGTCAGGAGGAAGAAGTTCAGAGAACGATGTATACTCGCCAGCGTGGACCCAGGTCTCCGTCAGAAATATAAAATCCAGTTCACGAGAGGTGAAGAAGTCGTTTAGCAGGAACGTTTTGTTTGCTATCGACCTAGCATTTAGCAAAGCCATGCAAAGTTTTCGCTCCGGGCTTGCCGAAGGTGTAGTGCGTCTCAGCTGACGAAGATGTGCGTGTTGAACGCTGCACGGGCCGGGAGCAGTCAGTCGGGCAGGAGGAGCTGCCAGCGGGCCCAGCAGAGGCCGCAGCTCCGGAAAAACAGGGCGAATCCATCCATGTTTCTATCAGTTTATACTTATGCCATGTTCTGTCCTCCATACTAACCCCTTCACTGCTGTTCAATCCACCTTTAGTTCCACATCAGTTATTAGATTGGGTTTCACATGACAGATTATTAACCCTTAAATGTATAAACTCACCCTTTGTATCAGTGATGAAATAAATGGAGGCCCAATTCCAAACCACACCCACTCCCCCTCCGTCTGAAGTCAACACTCAGCTGAACGAGGCCCCCTCCTTTCAGACGGAGGGTGTAAATACAGCAGCAGCTTTGGAGCAAACTCCCCTCTCTCCGGCAGCAACAGGAAATGCCGTAACTTGTTGTAACAACGGTTTCAAATCAGCATCTCTTGGATAAAACATTTGGACACAAAAAAAAAAAGAAAAAACTCCAAAAATCTTAAATTGTGTTTATTTTTTTTGTAAACCTCTTTTAGTTTTAAAACCTTTTAAGCTTCTTATTTTTTTTCAACAGTCTGTAAATATACACAACTTTATAATATAATGCACACATTTACCGTTTTCTAGACTACACATGGGTATGATCCTGAGTTAAAAACAATACGAGGGAACAGGAAGTTGTTAACATCTGTATGAAGATATTAAACATCTATCTTGTTGTTCAGTTTATCAGTAAATGTTGGAACTGTTTGTAAGCAGCGTGTTTCCTGACGGACACACACACGTTGGTCGGTCAGGTGGAGCAGCAGGTGAAGTCAGGTGATGCAGACTCTCTTGATAAAACACTCCCCCTCCACACTCGTTGGTTTGGAACTGCACTTAAAGGTCTCCTATTGTACTATTTGTAAGCATATATTATAGGTCTCAGATATAAAAAACATGTCTCTGAAGGGTTTTGCTAACCCTCTGGTAGAGTAGCAGTGTATCTGGATCTTCCTGCTGGCTCTCTCTCCTTCTACAGAGTCTCCTCTGACACACTGGTCCACCTCCACACCTTCAGAACCACATTCACTGAACCTCTCTATGCTGGGTTTGGGTCAGGGTTCTCGTTTTGTGTTGATTCCTCTTCGGTGTCTCTGTGTCCTCTGCAGGTCTGAGAGTCAACATGTTCACACTTATACACATACTGATATACTATGTCAAATTTCTACATGGAATTGTGTGAAACGAGATGCTGACTGCAATGATCCACAGAATATTTTTTTTTTCTTGTTTTGATTGAGAAAACATTCTGTTCGTCAAATGATGAGCAACATTTGAAAACAATTAGTTTGGTAATTTCTATGACATTTGAATTATTCTGTAATGTAATGAGAGTTGTACTGTCCTATATTTGTTATGTTTCTAAAGACTTCTAATAAAATATTTTATTTTTTCTTTATTGCAATCTTTTGTTTATTCGTTTACTTTTGTCTTTCCTACGTTACGTATATGTTTATTTATGTAGCACATTCAAAGACAGCAAATTTAGAATAAAGTGATTCACAAAGAGATCAAATAAAAACACAGTCATGGAAAAGAAGACCTGGTCCTATGAACTCATGTACCCTTCATCGATTCCCAATGTGTTTTCTAAATGTATTATATGATATTAACACGTTCCTTTACCATACCAATTCATCTGTTACTGATAAATAATTGAGGGTTATTAATTATCAATACATATATCTGGTGCCCTCTGTGAGGCCCAATGTGAAGCAGAGTTTTTTTTAAAAGAGATTTCATAGCCTAAACTTCAGAAGAACTATGTAATAACAAGTTTCAACAGGTTGCTCTTGTTAGCGCAACACAGAGAGTAAGAAATCCACTATTCCGTCTAAACCCCGTCACACCACCCACCAACACCGGTGCACAATGGAAAGATTCCTGCACAGAGACAAGCTGTCCTTATTTGGGGAGACGACCTGACGCAGAGAGGGAGGAGGAAGAAGACTATAAAGAAGGAGGGAGAAGAAGGAACAGGACGGCTTGAGGACATTTGACTTGTGAACCTATTGCTATTGTATTTGGACTTGTTATCTTTATTATTTTTTAAGGATTCTTTTTAATCCTCAATTTTTGTTAAAACCTTAATAAATCCGGTTTGTACTTTGTACACTTCGACCCAAACTCCTGGTCTCTCTCTCGTGGTCTCTGAAGGTATCTGCTTGGTCTTAGAGTGAGGTAAGAATACCCTTCCTCCGTCTTAGGTGCCTTACAAACAATGGACGTCCACTCTCGGGAGCGTCGGAGTGGTGCGGTCACCCTAAGTGACAGATCTAAAGTATCCGGGATTCAGGCACCTTCCCTGGCTTGTACATTTTTGGTGATGCGCCCTGGAGGTATCAGACTATTTTAAACAACTTTTCCCCGCCTTTCAAACACTTATTCCGGGGTTTTAGTCAGTCATTTTGCACGATATCATTTAACATTGACGCTCTCCTGAAAATGCACATATTCTGTGCATTTTCAGGAGAGCGTCAATGTTAAACGATATCGTGCAAAATGACTGGCTAAAACTCTCTTCCAGACATTTAAAAATACTTTCCCCGACCATTTAAACATGATTTCTGGCTTGTAAAGTGCAGTTATGCGCCCTGGAGGTATTATACTATTTACAAAATGTATACCCAGGATTGAGGCACCTTCCCTGGCTTCTACATTTTTGGGGTGTGGGGTCCGAGCCATCTCCGAGCCATCTCTAGTCCGTGTTGATAATGAGGAAAAAGTACCCCAAAATAGTGCCTCATGACCCCGCAGGAGTCCCCTGTCGACTCCCGTGACATTCCTCCATGGTCAAAATCATCCAACTCAACTTTTGTGAGAACCGGGGAATAGGGTGAAAATGTAAAAATGATGCCCCAAAATAGTGGTTCAAAATCGGGTAGAGTCCCCTGTCGACTGCCCTTGCATTCCTCCATGGCTCAAAATGTCCAACTTAAAGTATTTGGAGAACCAGGAAAATGTAAAAATTATGCCCCAAAATAGTGGTTCAAAATCGGATAGAGTCCCCTGTCGACTGCCCTTGCATTCCTCCATGGCTCAAAATGTCCAACTTAAAGTATTTGGAGAACCAGGAAAATGTAAAAAATTATGCCCCAAAATAGTGGTTCAAAATCGGGTAGAGTCCCCTGTCGACTGCCCTTGCATTCCTCCATGGCTCAAAATGTCCAACTTAAAGTATTTGGAGAACCAGGAAAATGTAAAAATTATGCCCCAAAATAGTGGTTCAAAATCATGTAGAGTCCCCTGTCGACTGCCCTTGCATTCCTCCATGGCTCAAAATGTCCAACTTAAAGTATTTGGAGAACCAGGAAAATGTAAAAATTATGCCCCAAAATAGTGGTTCAAAATCGGGTAGAGTCCCCTGTCGACTGCCCTTGCATTCCTCCATGGCTCAAAATGTCCAACTTAAAGTATTTGGAGAACCAGGAAAATGTAAAAATTATGCCCCAAAATAGTGTTTCAAAATCTGAACCTCCAGCCCAGAAGGGGGGTGGTGGTGCCAATAAGAAGGCCGAATTTGGATGCTGATGGGCGGACATAAAAGCACCACAAAATCCACCCCCTTTAGGGTCACCAGGGGCACGAGAATACCCTCCACAGAAGGGGGGGTGGTGCCGTGAAGAAGGACGAATATGGATGCTGATGGGCGGACATAGAAGCACCATAAAAACCACCCCCCTTGTAGGGTCACCAGGGGCACGAGGTTCTGGTGGGTGTGAATACCTGTGTTTAGTCCGTGGGGGGACTGCTAAAAGCAGTGACTCTGCTGCCTGCATTTAAACAGATTCACCAGTTTCTAACAAGACTTTAGCCCTGATCAGAGCCCTGTTTTCTGGGTAAGACAGCGAGGTGCTGTACCCTGAGTCTCTGGCTCTCTGAGACCCTGCTAAAAGCAGTGACTCTGCTGCCTGCGTTTAAACAGATTCACCAGTTTCTAACAAGACTTTAGCCCTGATCAGAGCCCTGTTTTCTGGGTAAGACAGCGAGGTGCTGTACCCTGGGTCTCTGGCTCTCTGAGACCCTGCTAAAAGCAGTGACTCTGCTGCCTGCATTTAAACAGATTCACCAGTTTCTAACAAGACTTTAGCCCTGATCAGAGCCCTGTTTTCTGGGTAAGCCAGCGAGGTGCTGTACCCTGGGTCTCTGGCTCTCTGAGACCCTGCTAAAAGCAGTGACTCTGCTGCCTGCATTTAAACAGATTCACCAGTTTCTAACAAGACTTTAGCCCTGATCAGAGCCCTGTTCTCAAATCGTATTTTCAGAATCTGACCCTCTGCCGTAACTCCGCTCCCCGAGGTCCTAGAGACTCGGCGATGGTACCATTGGATGCGGGGTATGTGGAAATGGGGAGGTACAGAAAGGCCTGAACCGAACAGAGCTTGTTATCAAAAGTTATGGATTAGTAGCAAGATTTCACAATGTAGCTCTCCAGGGTGCTGAAGGTCATTAGTCCGTCGTTTGGGGCTCTGTGAGCGGGCAAAGTGGGGTGATTTCCCCCTGGTCTCTCCTGGAGGTGTGAAATAAACAGAGTCCCACTGTTAGGGAGTGCTGCTGGAGGTCTCTAGTCCGTCCTTGGGGGCTCTGTGAGCGGGCAGAGAGAGGTGATTTCCCCCTGGTCTCTCCTGGAGGTGCAGAGTCCCACTGTTAGGGACTGCTGCTGGAGGTCTCTAGTCTGTCCTTGGGGGCTCTGTGAGCGGGCAAAGTGGGGTGATTTCCCCCTGGTCTCTCCTGGAGGTGTGAAATAAACAGAGTGCTACATTATGTAAATAGCAGAATACCTCCATGGCGCATAACTGCACTTTACAAGCCAGGGAAGGTGCTTCAATCCTGGGTATACATTTTGTAAATAGTGCAATACCTCCAGGGCGCATAACTGCACTTTACAAGCCAGGGAAGGTGCCTCAATCCTGGATATACATTTTGTAAATAGTGCAATACCTCCAGGGCGCATAACTGCACTTTACAAGCCAGGGAAGGTGCCTGCATCCTGGGGTAAACATTGTTTAATTGTTTAAGTGTTTTTAAATGTATGGAACAGTGTTTTGTCTCTTTCAAAACTCTCCCGCCATTGGCCGGATACATGGGGACGATTTTATATTCACTATGGCCGTTAATATTCCAGTGAGACGAAGTACGTCCGGTGACGGGAGTGATCCCATGTTAATTTTGTCCAAAAACCAGAGCATTCCCTCACTTGGAAAAGGCTGACATTAGTTGATAATTTGGATTTAAATTGTTTAAGGGGAATAAAAACTCTGCTAAGGTTAAACTATAGTTTCACATTGGTTACTGTGGTTGATGTGGTTGACATATGCTCTGCTGATGTGGTGATGTCACTGCTGTGACATTGATGTTTGACTTTGGCTGTGTTTGATATTACATTTGCATTGTTTTGATTGATATATTTGGGGATCAAGAGAGGGTGGGGTTAGGGACTGTGGGTTCTGAAGCTGCCCTAATTACCAGGGAGTCTCCCATTAACAGAGGGATTCTCCTCCAGGGGCAGTTTTGATACTGCTCTGGGGTTCTACCAGCCCACCAACACCTACTACACCATACACACCGTTTTGCTATCCGAGCGGTCGAACATCCGTGGCTGGAGTGCCAGAAATAGGGATACGACGAAAAAGGCATTTTAAACAGTCATTAAAAAGCAACACAATCTACCTGCATTGCAATTACTCTAAACGTGTAATAACGTGCTTTAACCAGTAGGTGGTTTGGGTTAATAAGCTGTCAAGTTTACAGTGTTAACCTGTTAAGCCCTGAGCCTGTTTTTCAGGTCTCAGGCTCGAAAATGACATTCCCAGAACAAATGACCATATCTTCCCTTCTAAAAGGGTTACATTAATAATCTTTGTTCTCAAAGTAATGATAAACCTGTGAGTTGGATGTAGAAAAGTCAGAACAATATAGATGTTTTTTATTTTAATGAGAAAATTCAGATTTTACATAGTAAAAAACTGTAAATTATAGTGTCCGTCCAAAAATTATTTTTTACTTATAGTAAAAACTACCCTTGGATGATGGTAAGGTAAACTAAAAGCTTTAGGAATCCAAAGTACAACATATAATAAGTACCCTGTATCAAGATTGATGCAAAACAAGTGACATTTGACCTTTTTAGA